GGGGAGGGCGGCTGGAACAACACACTTGGACATGTCTGGCCACATCCTTCTCTCTGCACAGTCCCTAGCTATGCTATACAGGTGACAGCCATTCTAGCTCGGGTCTGTCTGTCAGCCAGTCATCCATGGGCAGTCTCTGAGGGTACTAAGCCTCATTATATAGCTTAGTTGTCCCCCCCAACCCCTCCCACACACACCCAGAGAAAAATCACAAGACTATCCCAAAGGCTCTCCTCTGGTTTCCTACTCCTGCTAACAAGATTCTTCCATAGAGATGTGGTGTGCCCCCAACCTAGCAGAGCCCCAAATATGCTACTTCCTGAGTTGCTGGGGTTTCAGAAGACTATAAAATATGTGTTTTAGGTAGAGCCCAGAGCAGACTTGTTGCTATGGCAACTGAGGTAAGCCAGGCTTCTGGTACCCAGCAGATCACATCACCTGACACTGCTTACTTCTCTGTACACTGCTACTCTCCTCTTTGTTAGTCCACACCCCAGGTCCTTCGGTGGCTGCTGCTTCCTGCTTTATCTTTTACCCAGAACTCCAGGGCTGAGTGACACAGAGCGTTTGGAGCTGTCTCTGTGACAGCAGATGTGATTTCACAAAGACAGATGCTTGCAAGATAACCAGGGTCAGGGAGGCAGGAAGAAGATAGGAAGAGACCCTTCCTGGATAGCTTCACCTCAGTCCTGAGGGAATGCAGCCCAGTCTCCTTTGAGATTGAGTCTTGTTTGCCATTGCATACTCCAGGCTAGCAGGCTAGCAGGCTAGAGAGCTTCTGGAAACCTTCCTGTCTCCACTGCCCTTCTCACTTGGGGGCCCTGGACTACCATGTCCAGCTTCCTGTGCACCCTGAGTATCCAGCTCAACTCTCAAACTTTTATTTATTTATTTATTTATTTTTAAGATTTATCTATTTGTTTCATGTACGTGAGTACACTGTCACTGTCTTCAGACACAGCAGAAGAGGGCATCAGATCTCATTACAGATGGTTGTGAGCCACCATGTGGTTCCTGGGAATTGAACTCAGGACCTCTGGAAGGGCAGTCAGTGCTCTTAACCACTGAGCCATCTTTCCAGCCCCTCAAGTCTCAAACTTGCATGAGTCCATTATCCATGGGGCCATCTTCCAGGGTTTACCAACTGAACCTTGAGCGTTTCTTTCAGCCCTGGGTGGGGCTCTACCCAGCTGAGGGGCGCCTGGGGCAGGCCTCAGGCCCTGGATGCCACACCTGTGATGCTTGTTGGGATTGGATGTCTGTTCTCCGTGTAGCACTTGGAAACACCTTCAAAGATATGCAGCCTTAAACCAGACACGTGATGGTGGCGCACCCCTTTAAGCCCAGCACTTGGGAGGCAGAGGTAGTCTGATCTTTGAGTGCTGAGGCCAGCCTGACTTGAGGAAGAGAGAGACAGACAGACAGACAGACAGACAGAGGAAAGGAGGGAGGGAAGGAAAGTGGGAGGGAGGGAGGGGGGAAGGGAGGGACCTAGTTTCATTACTGCAATGATCTCTCTAGGATTCAAGATTACAGATGGGTCTCTGCTCAGGCTGCCCTTGAACTATTCTGAAAAAAAAAAAAAGACTCAGGTTGTCTTGGTTTTGTTTACCTGTTAGATGGGTTCCTTGCCTGAGGGAGCCCCTCCCCAAAATACCCTACCAGGGTCCCATGGCTTGGCCTTTCCTTCTCTATTCCTTCATCTTTCCCCACATGGCCACGTCATCGTTAGGGAATTGCCAGGTCAGCTTTGTCTGACAGAATGTGTCAAGCCACTCCTGGCCCCCTTGTGACCCTAATATGGGGAAACAAAATATCCAGGGGGCTGGGGACACAGTTCAGTTTGGTAAAGCACTCGCTTGCTGTGCAAATCCGATGGCCCAGATGTGATCATCAGAATCCACAGAAAAAGTAGAATTCATGGTGTGGATCATATTGCCAGTATTCCTAGAGCAAGATAGAAGACTTCCAGCAGGGCACAGCTCTCTATCCCAACACTCAGACAGCAGAGACACACAGATCTCTGAGTTCCAGGTGAGCTAGGGCTACAGAGAGAGTTCCTGCCTCAGAAAGGTGGAAGGCAAGGACCCACTTCCAGAAGGTGTCCTCTGACCACATGCAGGAGGCAACCTGTACAACACACGGAATATTTTCAAAGCTGGGTGTGGTAGCATGCACTGTAACCCCAGGCAGGGGAAGTAGAGTCAGACATATGATATGCCTGGGGCTTCCAGGCCTGCTAACCTAACCTCCTAAACAAGTTCCAAGCCAGTGAGCCTGTCTCAAAAACAAGAGGGTTAGCTCTTGAGGAATGATACCGGAGGCTGTCTTCCGGCCTCCGATAGCGTGTGTGTGTGTGCATTCATGGTGCGTGATCTCCTGCCCCACCCAAACTGCTCAGGATACAAAGGGTCACCGGGACATCTGCCACAGGATCCCAGCTTCTGTGACCAGAGCCACCATCAGGTTCAAGTTGGCATTTTGGCTTGATGGTGGTGAGAGGTACTTTTAGGAAGATGTCCCCTAACTCCTCTTTCACGTGTCCTTCAGTGGCCATTTGTATGCATGGGAATCTGGGCAGTTACCAGAGACCGATCTAATTTTGTTTCCCTCTCCTGGGAAACCGAAACTCATTGAAGAACAGCAGTTAGCAGTTCGGCACACTGCTCGGCAGCTGTGTTCCCTGAATAATTGAAGCAAAGACACAAACATCATCTCTGGGTGGGAAGGGAAAAAACACTGAAGACCTACGACTAAGGCTCAGCAAGGTGGCTCCTCCCCGGAGAACTGCTGCTGTCAGGATGGCCCGCTAGGCCAAGCTGCTCGTCTACTAGTGCCATCACTGCTAACCATAGCCACTTCTGCACCCTGGCTTTCTGGCTTTCGAGATTGCCTCAGGCTGCCCCTGGCGGTATTCCTCCACACACCCCACATCCACTCAGCTGATTGGTAGAGACGCCCCTCCCACCCCCGTCACTCCCCGCCCCTGTGAAAGTTTGGTCCCAGCGATGCAGGACTCTAGCCTGTGAATCCTAAACTCTAATTCCTGCTTGGGCGTGGGAGGGTTAACTTGAAAGGGTGGAGATTCCAACCAGGAGGCTGACCCAAGTGGGTCAGCCTCCCTTAGACCTAGGAGTCCTGGTGTCACAGGCTACTGGGACACACACACCCCTGTGAGCCGGCTCCTTGCTCACTCCCAAGTCAGGAGAGGGCGTGGAGTGATGCAGGGCAGCTAGGCCGGTTGCAATTTCCCAGGTCTACTTGTCCCAAGCCGATGTAGCTCAGGGGGTCCAGACCCATTCAAATCAGTCTTTCTAAGGACAGTTTACTGACTTTGGCTGAAGATGAAGCCCGCAGGTACGGGGCCCACAGTCTCTTCCGGGGGCGAGTCCACCGACGTGTCCCTCGGCTCGCCGTTTCCTTGGCCCTGCCCGCCCGACGTGCGGCTCTGTGGCCATCTGAGAAAGCAGAAGTCCCAGCGCCGCCGCTTTTTCGTGCTGCGCACTGACCCACCACGCCTGGAGTGCTACGAGAGCGAAAAGAAGTTCTTGGCCAGCGGCTGCCGCCCACCTCGGCCGCGGCGTACCGTGAGCCTGGAGGGTGCCTGCACTATTAGCAAGCGCGCAGATGCCCGTCAGCGCCACCTGATCGTCATCTATACCAGCGACAGCAGCCTGGGCGTGGCGGCGGCCAGCGAAGCGGAGCAGCAAGCGTGGTACAGCGCCCTGCTCGAGGTGCGCGCCACCGCCGCTGCAGCTGCTGCTACCGCTATGGGTGAGCCCTGGGTGACCTACGGGGAGGTCAGGGGGTTGCCGACTTAATTTATCTTGAACCCCTTTCCCCTCAGATCAACAAAGGTTCAAACCTTAAGTTTTCACACGTCTTGGTCACCTGGTACCGGGTGACCCCAACCCCTGCCTCCCAGTGACTTGTCCATTCTCTCCAGGTTTCAGTCCCCAAGAGGCCCCTGAGTCTTGGATCTTCGCCCCATTCCAGGACGTCTGGCCTGTGACACTGCGGTCCAAGGGGCTGGGGAGAGCACGAGGCCTGAGCAGCGGCAGCTATCGCCTGTGCCTGGGTTCTGGGGCCCTTAGCCTCCTGCGAAAGCCGGGAAGCAAAGGCTCCAGAGACGGCTGGACAACGCCACCACCAGTCCTGCGCCTGTCCTTGCTCAGTGTGCGCCGCTGCGGCCACGCAGACTCTTTTTTCTTCCTGGAACTCGGGCGTTCAGCGCCCATGGGTCCTGGTGAGCTGTGGCTGCAGGCCCCCGATGCAGTGGTGGCCCAAAGCATTCATGAGACAGTCCTGGCTGCCATGAAGAGGCTGGGGAGCAGTGCAGCCAGTGGCAAAGCTGAGCCCCCGCCGCCGCCGCAGGGAGATCCTCCAAAGAGCGTTCCTGCAGCTCCAACCCCGGCACCATATGAAATCCCTGCTTCAGCATCCGCAGCACAAGCAAGAAGGCCGAATGAGCAAGCAAAGAAGGACTACTTCAAGCCCCCAGAAAGGATGGAGTCAACGAGCTCCTACAGGGGGCTAGATCTGGGAGGGGACTACATCACCATGGGAGTCAGGAATGACTATGTGCACATGGGGGGAGGAGAGGCAGGTGACTATATGTGGATGGCGCCCCCAGGCCTTCCTCCCACCCCTGCCCGGGCTGATCCCAGTAAGCAGCTTGAGGGTTGTGAGAGCACAGAGTACGTGCCCATGAGCAGATTTTTACCCGGGCCTTTGTATTACGAGCTCAAGGCCAGGGAGTCTGAACTTGGGCATCCAGGTGCCCACTGTAGCATTAGGGACAGATGGAGACCCACAGTGGCTCAGTCCCGCTCTTCCCAAGGGTCAGAGCTCTCAGGGGACTACATGTACATCCCTGACTATGTAGGAACGGACAGTGATAGGCTGGGGTCTCTGGACAGCTGCCTTAACTATGTGGACCTGGACCTAGTCCCTCCCCTGGAGGTCCCTGGAGCAGCCCCAGGGAATAGTCCACATAGCTATGCCAGCATCAAGTTCTAGAACTTTCGGGAGATAGTCAGGTGAGGAGACCCAGGCATTGTCAGGGAAGAGAGGGAAAGAAGAGAAAACCTTAGTACTGTTCAGCTCAGCTGCTGCACACAGGAGCCAGGAACCCTGAGGGTCATAGTCCCCATGAGCTGCTATGCTGCCCCCCTGCCTGCTCTGTCTCTATCAGCCGTGCCACCCAAGAAACCCCCAGGAAGAAGTGCTCCAAAGAAATTAGACTCTTTTAAGAGAAAGTACTAGAACTTCTTTCTGCCTTTCCACCCCCTCCCCCATCCAAACAACAAACAAATAAAACCCTTCTCAGCTGAATGCCTACAGAGTCAGTCTCAGGCTAGCTTGTGGCCAAAGCGTGGATGAAGATTTTCACCCTGGTTTGGGACAGCTCTGTGCCCTCACATGTTGGCAGCTAGGTATCATTGTGTCTCCTCAGCCAAAGCATTATCCTAACCTGTTTTTTTCAAGCCAGAGCATAACTCCTAAGGCTCAGAAAGGGAGGATCAGAGACCATGTCAGTGCTCCCCAAGCAGCCTGTCCTCCCGAGTCATCCTGCTCGGGTCCAAGTCATGCTCACCTGACACTTCTCTGGGCCTGGCAGACCTGATCAAGTTCCTTACTTCCCAGAGTGTAGCCCAGTCCCAACTGTGGACCAAACCCACCCATTAAAGGTGCCCTGCTCTCTGACTGTACTGCTCAGTGGATGTCCCAGTCCCAGGTAGTGGGTGACCAGTGAGAAAGGAGACCTGGAGGAAGAGCAAGTGAGTACACTGGCATACTGGGAGCCAGCCTGCCTCCAAACCCATGCCCCACCACAAAGAGCCTGGTTTGCAAACTCTGATTTATTCTCAACAAAACAGCTTGGGGGAGTAGACAACACCCATGGAGGGAGGGACAGGGTACACTATGGACAGTAGCTATCGGGGTTCTGTGTGGGTCATGGGTTAGTGCTTCCAGAACAGCTCTGGCCACCACTGGGGCCTGGGTCTTCAGAGCCAGGGTCTGGGCAGCTGGTGGAAGGCAGAGAGCTTGCCTGGGAGTTGGGTGTCTGCTCTCCCTGGCTCATCTGCAGCAGACCAGCAAGGGCAATCATCTCTGCTTCACTGAGCCAGGTGGAGGAGTGGGCCCGGGAGGAAGAGGGGTGCACAGAGGAGGACATGATGGGAGGAGGGAGCAGCAGCCTCCTCGGGTCCACTGCCTGGGAAGACGAGAAGGGAAGCTTGTTCTCCCGGCTTTCATGGAGGAAGGGAGTGAAGAACGGAGGGAGGCTCACTCTTACCTGCTGAGGGGGGTTGGGCAGGCATAGGGGAACCCGCTGCTGCCCAGGCAGTAGCAGAGGGTCCAAGAGAAAGACTTCTTCACAGCTTTTCACTGGGAGCCCTGAGGAGGAGACCCTGCTAGCTTGGTATCCTAGGCCATCCACCCTAGATCTCAATGCAGTTTCCCCAGCAACTTTGCAACTAAGCTGAGGGGCCAAGAGAAGTACCTGTGTCCCTAGACACCACCCGCTCTTCTTCTGGATGTCCTGAGGTAGTAGGGATCCTGCCGTAGTCATCATACATAGGCCAGGAAGGATGGCACAGTGTCCTGCCAGACAAAGATACCGCTGACCCACGGTTGGGCCCCTGTGGAGAACAGGAAGTGATTGAGCCCCGGCTCTCTTACTGCACCTCTGCTACCTGGGGACAGAGCCACAACTCACCACCAGCTGAGATCCTGCATTAGCCTGGTAGCTGGGATCCCAAGGTGGCAGTGGAGTCGTCATTGAGAGGGTGTCCTGGAAGGTCACCCGGGGAGCAAGAGGTACTGTGAATGAAAGCGACAAGATTAGAACGGGCTCTGAATCTCTGGGGCCTTGCAGGTAAAAACAGCAAGACCTGGTGCCGACCTGGGGCCTACCTGGGGCTTCTGCAGTCGGCTCAGTAGCCAGGTGCCTGGAAGGCTGCCGCTGATTTCTTCCGGTTTCAGATGGGCTAAGGGCCTGGAGCTGTGAGCTGTGTGAAGGGAAGGACGGGCTTCCCCACTCACTTCCCTTCCTGATGCTGACCTGAGTTAGTCGCAGGACCAGTAGTATACCCATTTCCCAGTACCGACCTCCTAGATTTTGTTTTGGAAAGCGCCCACAACGCCTCCTAGCGGCCCCCACCAAGCCCTCACCTGTCCTGCACAGGCGTTTCTTGCTCTTCCATGGTTTCCTCTTCAGAGCTCCAGGCCTCTCCGTGGGCACTGCCTGTGGAGAGGCCTAGCCCCTCTGATGCCTCCTCCTGGCCTGTGCCCCATGGCCCAAGCCAAGGCAACATACTGCGTCTGGTGAAGCACCAGGCAATACCCACTGCCGTGCTTGCGTGCGGCCCTGACTACATGAGCGCTCAAGTCCTAGCCCACCTCAGAGGTGTCGCCACAACGCCTGCGCCAGCGTTTCTCCAGCCACGTGGCACGCTCCCACCAGGTTCTCAAGGGCTCCCCCTGGCGGCAGAGGCACGGGGCACTTGTGCCCGTACAGCTCCTCTGCCGGGCACAGAAACATAGCAATCCACGCTGGGACTCAACAGTAGAGGACTCAGGTCCCCAAGAAGTGCGCGCATTCATGGACAGGCAGGCACACAACCAAGGGCCAACCTACATGCCTTTGGGCTTCTCTTTATTGTGTTTGACACAATACTCTTCACCCAGATGGGGGCTGCACCCGAAGCAGCCTAAGGACAGGGGGATACCCATGGCCAGGCTACACACAAGACCATGGTCACCAAGTCCTTGTTAATTGGCAGGGCCCAGGTGTCATCTGCTCCCAGGGTAGGTCCGGGGGTAGTTGGGGGGGGGTAGTTGGGGCCCAGAGCCCCAATCTCTACCCCTAAGGCTCTTCCAGAAGTGCGTGAAGGACAGCAGCGATGTGAGGGAGGCCCCTTCCAGGGGCCCCTTCCTCTTCCAGGATGTGGTGGGGCTGGCACAGGGACTCCTGGGGGGAGGGGCCCAGGTTAAGTTTCCCCCTTGAATTCCCCCAGCAAGGTTAAGAGGGTGGGGGGTAGACACTGCCCCACGCCTGGGCACAAATGACACATGGAAGCTGCCAGCAGATTAACAGAAGGGTGCTTAACACAGGGGGCTTGGGCAGGAGAGGCTGGTCATTTCCAAAGGGAAATGCTTGTACAGGCAAGTAGCCCAGGCAGGACGAGGCCTGGCTGCAGCAGGAGCTCACACAAGCACACAGATTCGACAATATATACAGTTTATACACAGAGCCAGGGGCCCAGACTGGGCTCACATCCCCTACAAACAAGAGTTCTCTCTACAAAACAGAGAGAACTTAGCTCCCCCATAGCAGCCAGTAGGGGAAGGGAGGACAGAAGGGAAAGCCAAGGTCCTGTCATCCCTCCGGGGACAGAGGGCCAGTGGGGAGGACATGAAGGCACCATCAGCACTAATGGCGAGGGCTACTGTGGGTACTAGAGTGGGCTTCTGAGGTCAGCATTCGTGAGGGTACACTAGTGTCTTTGGTAGGGGTGAAGGCACCACTGGCAGGGACAGGCTCAACAGGAGGTCTTATAAATAGAAGGTGGGAAGGAAGGGCAGCGTGGGTCCTAGGAGCCCAGGAGCCGCGTGTAGACGACATAGAACAGCAGCATGGAGACCACGTAGAAGAGGAGGAAGCCACCCAGACCAGAGGACGGCTGGCCTGGGAGAGGAGCCTCGCCCCCAACCAGGCTCACAGTCTCCAATATGGTCTGCAGCCCCTGGGCAGTGCCCCGGAGGAGATCCGAGGGCGAGCACAGGTCAGCCTGGGAGGGAGGACAAGGCAGATGGACAAGGACAAATAACACAAGTTAGCAGCATCAAGCTGCAGGCCTTCCCACCCTGCCCTCACAAACCAGGACCACAACCAGGGCCATACCGACACACGGACATGCAGACATGCGGACAGACATGCAGGACAGGGAGGCAGAAGGGAGGGCAGATGTGAGGGGTGGGACCAGGACACATGCTTCCTGTAGAAGCAAACACCCCTGTGGATGGAACTCCGCCCCTCATGCACGGCATCCAGTGGAGCCCTAGACACCAGCATCCTCCAGAGCGAAGCACAGCTCCCATACCTCAGGCACACCCATTTTTCGACAGGCTTCTAGGAAACTCTCTACATTCTTCCGAGACTTGAGAGCACTGAGCTTTGGCTGAAGACGGAGAAAGGAGAGGAATTTGGAAAGGCAGAACCACAGTCCCGTCCCTGCCCCTCTCTTCCTCCTTTTGGGCTCCCACTGACCACAGCAGGCGAGGGCACATGAATGAAGGGTACAGAGCGGGGCCGCAGCTGGTTCGCCAGCTGGCAGAGGATGACTCCATTGGCGAGAGCCTCTGCCAGGTCCTCAGGCAGGGGCCGCTGCAGCCGGGACTCTAGGACCTGGACGCAGAGACAGGAGGAGCAGGTGGGTCAGCAGGGTCACTCCATCCCTTCCCCTCCTCCTCGATGACAGTTAAGAATTGTTGCAGGCTGTGTGGGTCCTGAGAAAGGAAAGGGGAAGGGGACACCATGCTGGGCCAGGCCTCCGGTGAACGGATTTAGCTTACCTGGCGAAGCTGGGATATTAGCTCCTTCTCTTGAGGAAATGGTCGAGGTCTCAAACCAGACTCTGGAGAGGAAGGGCCTAGGAGGAAAAGACGGATGGGGGACGCTCTGCTTCATGGATAAACTTTGGAGCCTGCTTTCAACAGTCTGATACCAATACCAACTCTTGCCTATGGGATTTTCCATGAACAGGGACAACACTCTAAGAGACGTAAGCCCCAAGAGATAGGAGTCCTGAGGTTAGTGCCAGGAAGATACTTACTCGAGCCACTCTGAGAAGAGGAACGGAAGAGGAAGCTGTTTGGTCTCTGAATGGAGCCCAGCGGCCTGGGAACAGGAGCAGTCACTGGGGGAGCCAGGGACAGGCAAGAGACGAGACTCAGTAGCTCATTCTTCCTTCAGGCCTCTGTGTCCCAGCCACCTCCAAGCCATCACCTAAAGATGCTGTCCTACCTGGTCCAGATACAGGAAGGGGGTCTTGGGAGGTGGGGGGCGGTGTGGGAGCTCCCTGCACCCCTGAAACTCCCACTTGGGTAGCACTGGACTTCGGTGGGCCACTGAGGAAAGAAGAAGGGACTCAGAGAAGGCCACGAGGAAGGCCTAGGGAGGTGGGTCTTGGACAACACCTACTTGCAGGTGGCCTGTGTGGACGGGGCCGAAGCACCTGCCCCGGCAGCCCTGATTCCCCGCTTCAGGACACTGCAAGAAGCCAAAGAGGAAAAAGCTGGGCAGTCAGGCCTCACATTCAGTACAACAGAAGACTGAGAAGCATCTGCCCTTCCCCTATCAGGCCCTGAGCCCTTACCTGTCCTTTCTGGGGGATCCCCACCCCACACTCTGTTGCTGTTGCTTCCGCTCCCGTTCCTGCCACAACTGCAAAGAGTCTGGGCGCCGCCTCTCCTCCCCTGCCGGCTCCTCCCGCCTGGCAAAAGACAGGACAAGAGAGACCTTTGTCAGGTGAAGAGGAGGTGCCCAGGGCTGTTGAGTAGGGGCAGAAGAGTGGGCGTGGGGTTGAAATACCTGCTGCTAGATGGCTTTTCCACATCCCCTGCTACAAGGCTTAATTCAGAAGGCAGCTGCTCCTGAAGAGAGGACAGCAGAGGCTGAAGAGAGAGGCCTGGCCCCCCATTTAGTGCCTCCCCACCTGCCAAGGGACGGCCCTGGAGCCTAACCTCAGCTGCACTTCGCTCCTCATCTTCCCCAGGAACATGGCTGTCAATAAAGTCAATCTGCTCCAGGTCTCCATCGCCTGCAAGACCAGGGCACATCAGCGAGCAAGCAGGAGGGGGCTTCCAGGCCTACACTTACCCCTCACTTCCTGGGCAAACTCCCTTGCTCACCAGAGCCATCTTCCCTAGGTTGTCTAGGCCCCCGGGGCTCCCGAGCCAGCTCTGAGATCCGGAAAGACAGTTCTGAAAAATCATCTGTGGACTTTAAGGCAGAGAGACAGAGATGGGACATGGGCTCCCTGTAGGGCTGGGGACCATATGGGTTCAGGCTGCACAGCAGAGACTGGGGTCAGGTGGAAGGCCAGCCTCTTGGGCATAGTAGGGGGAGGAGCCCCAGCCATGACCTCTTCTTACTGAGATACCAACATATTAGTATAGGGTCCCCAGTACCAAGTTTCCCTCCCAGTGACATCCCTAAATACCCTTACAAGAGAAGTCCTCACCTCATTTCCTGACCACCTCTTGCTGCCACTGTCAACACTATGGAAGCCTGAGTCCAGGCCACCATCATAACGACGTCCCGGAAATAAATCTTCGGCAGGGCTGGAGCAGCCAGGAAGACCCGGTCAGCCCCAGGCTTGCGGCACCCCTACCCTCCCACTGGAAGCCAGGGGAGTTCTTTGGTCCCAAGAAGGGGATTCCTTCCCCTGGGCCTTACCAGGGACTAAAACTTGGGGGGCGTGAAGGGACTAGGTCCCCGAGGGCAGCTCCCCTCCGGCCAGCTTCCATTGTTAAGTACTTGAATATGTGGAGTTTCCCCTTCAAACATATCTGTGGGAGAGGCAATGCACAGAATGAGGGGGCTCCCCAAGCCCTGGGGACCCTCCTGCTACCTCACAGCACCACCGTCCTCAAGGTCCACCCAGGCTGCACCTTACCTGGGCAGGTGGACTCTGTAGGGGGTTGCTATCCAGAAGAATGACCTGCAGGTGCCTGAGGTGGCAGAAGGAGACCGGGATTCGGGAGACACGGTTACAGGAGAAATCCAGGCGGACCAGAGGAAGGTCCCCCAGCTCTAGGGTCAGGGCAAAGGGAGAGTCAGGAGATGCCCAGGCCAAGGCTTTGAATTCCCTCCCTTTAACTTGGCTCTGAGCAGTCACTCCCCCCTGGCTCCGTCACAGTATCTCCAACCCTAGCTGGCTCAGCTCACTTCCCACAAATAAAAGGCTGTCCATCTCCTCCCTCACAGCCGAGCGAGCGAGCGGAGCCCTTTCCACTTCAGCTCTGCTCAGCCCTGAGCATCCTCCTCTCCTGCCACCCCCACTCTGAAATCCATCCTACCTTCTCCAGTGAGCAGTGCAAGACACAAACCAGCTGATGTTACTGCTCAAAAGCCCTCAAAAAACATATAGCCAGGCCTGCTAAAGTGACAAACACCTGTATTCCCAGCACTCAAGAGGCACGGGCAGGAGAACCGGGATTCAAGGCCATTCTTGCCTACATATTGATTTGAGGGCAAGTCTGAAGTACAAGGCACTGCCTCTCAAAACAAAACAAAAAAGACAGAATTCCAGCCAGGTAGGGTGGCACATGCCTTTAATCTCAGAACTTGGGAAGCAGAGGCAAACAGATCCCTGTGAGCTCGAGGCCAGTCTGGTTTACACGGTGAAACCCTGTCTCCACTAAACTAAAAACAGGACAAAACAAAATTCCTTGGCTTCACTTATTTTGGAACAGAAAAGTAATAAAGACAC